AAAAAAAAAACTAAAGAAAGACAAAAACTGGACAAGCTGCATTCAGATTTCAATGAGATCACAACGGCGTCGCACTTGTCAGCTGTAATGGTTGCATTCCACGGCTTTTTAGAAGCTGAAAAAAAAATAAAAAAAAATCAGTTAAACTTTTTTTACCCTTTTCAGGCTAGCGTCGTTAATTTGAATTCAAAAATGAACAGTCAAAACTCCCGTCGTATTCACCCTGTGTGAAGAAGGAGAAAAATACTTCGGAGTAATCCGAACAGTAGCAGATACCAATAGCAACCACTTACTGATAAGAATATCAATAATTCTTAAGCAAACTGATAGCAGAGGTTAGAATTTAGTGAAAATGCCAATATTTCCCTTGATTTGTTGATTCACTTCGACGGCGATATGGTGCAGACCCATTCAACATTCATACGATTCAGTCTGCCTCCAATTTGTCTCTCAAACGATCTATGGATTCCTTGCTACTAAACCTCTGACTACCTTCGTCCTCCACAGAAGCTCCAACATACAGATACTTCAGTTATTTTGCGTTTATAAGTGCAGAGTGCAGATAAAGGAAGCGATAATGCAGTTATGTTGTCAGCGCGTCGTATAATGACGCAGCAATACACGTAAAATATACCTACAGCATAGTCATGTAAAGCTATGTTCGTTGGGAATGGACACAAAACGGGATTTGAATACTAGCGCTAACCATATAAATATTTAGCATCATAATAGTGAATTCCAGTAAAAACTGATTTGGTAAAAGACTGATCACTAAAAGATATATTATTTGTTAAAACAAATGCACAGCTTATCGAATTCTCAAACATGTATATTTTTGGCAAAAAAGTCTCTGAGGCCTCAGTAAAAATTAGAAAAATTCAATATTGTTGAAGAATGCCAATGGTGAGACAAAATAGAAAAATAATAAAATAATAAAAAATGTGTACGGATTCCAAGAATTCGCCTATTTAGTTTTAAACATGCTCCTTTATGCTTCACAACTGGACCTCGTCAGTGAAACGATTGCTTTATTATTCCTTTCTCTTTAGGTATTAAAACATTCTATCATTACATATGCCGCCCATGCGCATATATAGATTGGAAGAGACTACAGTTCAGGACATATAAGCATACTTGTTCGAACTGGTTGTCGTCGGCGTTTGCCGTGGATGATACCGATGGCGAAGGCAGTGCTCGCGCAGACACTGTACTAAGGACTGTTCGCATCGAGTTTTCGATCGAATCAACAATTAGGCACCCTACATCTTCACTTTCCTCAAGCAATAAATTCTTCGCAGGACCTTGCATCCGTTCATCCTAAACAAATGTTAGCATTAAACAACGAAAGCAAAACAACTAGCAGTTGCGGTTATGCATTTTTAGCCTGTCTTCCACAGTTCAAAAACTACTTTTTCGAGTCTTCTGGTGCGATTCTGAGCATTGTAATTTGTATTAACCTTGCTTTCCCTATGTGATTATCTCTTGTCACACCTCTTTCTACGGGCAATAGTTACAGTGTGAAAGAATTGTTAATAGGCCAGCTATGCGAACTACAAAAAACGACGGAGAATTCGATACATCTAATATTTCCTCCCGGACGAACAAAGAAAGCAAGCAACTGAACGCCAACACTGATTATAGGCCGATTTCTAGGCACTGCAGTTTCGGTCGCAACAACCAAGGAAGGGGGCTGCGAATTACGCTGACTCCTTGAAATTTTGTGAATGAAGCCGCTTTTGCAAATGAAAACGGACCGAGAAGAAAATCGAGCCACTCGCCCTTGGGCACAGTGTGTTAAACCACTACATCACACACTCACCGAAGCCACTACATCACACACATTCTCTACCGTAATTGACGCTGTACTCATAAGCAGCGCACACTCCGGTACATGCAAATTTTGCGGGACTTTCACGACAAAAGAAGTGCTGTGATGAAAAAACAGCTGATTAAAGCGTCGAAATGAGTTACTATATTCACTTTAGAGACAATTTTATGGCTACTCTACCTCAGTAGAGGCTACAACCTTTAAAGCATCGAGAAGGGACACTGATTTTTCCTTTATACTGAAAATAAACCTGATATCGTCGACAGGAGTCAATAAGCTGTCGTACATCGTCATCTAGCTGTAACTGCTTGATGCCACGTCGGCTGGGATATGCACCGCTCATTATTGAAAATGTTCGACCAACTTTAGAAGACCCTGAGGTAGAATCGGTTTGAGTTGATGCATCCTGCGACGGGCTCTGGCTGGTATGCACTGATGCTGTTCGTGTTGCGTAGCCATGTTTCACTGAGGATCCAAGGCTACTCCTGAAACTGCTGTTCGAAATATACAAGATGATTCTGTCATTAACATATTTAACACTTCATTTTAGAGACTTTTAATGAGGTTGATGCAGCGATAAGAAGTGCTGCTCTCAACCTCAAATAGTCTGATGTTGTCAACGGAAAAACCAGTCGCTCTGGTTCGTTCATTCGTTTCAGTGGTGAATTGGTACTGGCGCATACTAAGGGTTCGAAGTTGCTATCAGCTTGATTTTATGCAACTCTCGAAAAAAGGACCGTCGACAGCCTCGTCAGTGGGCGGATGTTTTTGTTACTTGATACCATTCCACATTATTTCCGAGCACCTTCATCAATCGGAAACAGTAGAATGTGGAGGAAGCTCTGACCTGACTTATCTTGAATTGAGTTCGTAAATGTGCTATGACACAGTGTTGTCACGTATGCAATTTATTCATAAACCAACCTTGAAAAGGATTGTTGGCTAACTCTGGACTTCGAAACGGACATCTGTTTGCTGCCCTCCGTTGTTTGCGAATTTCCGAAATGACAGCGAAGCAGTTTTGTGGTAGCATAACTCGCTCGAACATTTTTTTCAGGATGAAGTAGTATAATGTACAGTTTGGGAAAGAAGAGCAGTACAAGAGCAATGCTGGCAGAAAGACTGAATGAAAAACTCATTGTTAATGCTTTGTTTGTCGTTCCTAAGTGAAGAACGATAAAAGCTGACCAAACCACCAAAGTACAGTACCTGCAAAAAATACTAATTTCGAGTGGAAAGATTAATTGTTGCGGACAATAGCCATTAAGTCGGCCCTGGTCAAGGTTTCATCAAAAATAAAAACTTACATAGTAAAACCAATAAATTTTGCTTCATTAAAATTCTCCGGCAAATTCCTCGTTTTGACGGCGTACAGTGTGCAAAGCGATATCAAAAATAGATTCCAGAGAAAGGGCGTCAAGAAGGCAAATGTTGTGGTTGAGCACACCAGTACCATTCGACGTGGATGATAGTGCGGATCGAAGCCAGCGTGCGGCATCTCTTCCATCACACCAACACCCACAATAACACATTCAATACAAACCAGGATCCATGTAATTACTACCTGAAACAACGCTTACCAAACAGTTTAGATTTTCTTCCATAGTTTACACAAGCCTAAACCTTGCAGAGCCATATTGTATTCCGGTAAAATTAATTACTTTCGTTATCGTAAAAATGGCTATCATACTTGGAAACGAGGCTATTTTTTATGCCTTTTTTCTAAATAAAGTTGAAACTCATTGCATGATAAATGCCTTGTATTCCGTCGTTTCTCCTCGACACCACCGAGATGAGGCAGAAATACTCAAACCCAGGCTGGAACGCACCAGGCGAGCCGGAGCGATCATGCGTTTTTGCACCAGACTTGAAA